AGAGCGAAGAAAGCCTTCTTCACCTGCCGAACAAACACAGTCGCTGAAACCATGAACGTGTTTTGTAACTGTGGCCTGTTTTACTGGCAGAATAAGAGGATGTGTTGGGAACATTCGACCTGCAGCGTTGTGTCAAAGACGACCAGTTTGGAGCTGGTTGGGATGGCATCGTAGCAGGAGTGACTCTTCATGAAGTTCATGTAAATGAATGTGTCAGTCTGGACCTGTGGAGAAGAGCAGGGGTTGCTTATGCCACGGATAAATAGGAAATATAAAATGTTGGTTTCATGTTGGGTATTTTTTTATAAGGGCATCATAATGTTTTCACAAAAAAAAAGCTTGGGTCTAACAGTGTTTTGAGAGTTTGAGGATGCTGACGGTATCTGCAGTCTGACAGAGACGTTTGATGTGATGTTTGGACCACCTTTTACATTTACTCTGGTTATTTCTTTGGCCCCTGGTAAGTTTTGATTTGCTGGGACAGCTCCATCTACAATCCCAATTTCAAAAAACACTGAGACATTCAGTAAGATATTAAAGATACTAAAATACAAAAAAAAGGGCAAATTTACCACCGTGTAGCAATATTTGAAAATAGCAACTGTGCAGTTTCAATACTTGTAACGTGACCAGAAACAGTGGATCAAGAATGCAGCAGAATAAATATTATTCAGCAAACACAAGCCACGTCTCCCCGTCTGATTTCTTTCCCGCTTTAAGGACATATGTATGTTACAGGTACCAGGCAACCTGGTGAACCCTAAAGCTTCAAGTCATCACTACTTCAGTCAGGTGTCTGTACTCGACTGTCCACTGCTTCAGATCACACCTGGAATTTAGTTGTGTAAACAAGGTTGCGCATTATTTTATAAAGTAATTATTAGAATACGTTATTAATCCCTAAGGAAACTGTGTGGTTACAGTAACTAATTAAATAATACAGTACATTACAAAGTTACAAAACATAAGAAATAGCTCGAATATAAGGCAGCACGGTGGTTAGCACTGTTGCCGCACAGCAAGAAGGTCCTGAGTTCAATTTCACCATGTGGAATTTGCATGTTCTCCCCGTGTTTGCGTGGGTTCCCTCTGTCCAAAGACATGCAGCTTGTGGGGATAGGTTAATTGGATAATTGGATAATCCAAATTGCCACTAGGTGTGAATGTGAG